TAAACAGTAAACACTCACTTATCGGATTGTCTGGAGTTTTGAAGATGAATGCTGTCACAGTAAAAGAGCTATTTGATAAAGACACTGGAATACCATATTTCAGAGCTACTATGTCGGGGTCTCGATTTGAGTTCCTTACAAACTGTTTACGTTTCGACGATAAAAATACACGAGAAGATCGCCGGAGAGCAGATCGATTGGCACCGATAAGGGAATTATTTGATGATATAGTAAAAAAAAGTTTTGATTATTACACTCCCACTGATTGTTGCACGATCGATGAACAACTGCTTGCATTCAGGGGCCGGTGTCCCTTCCGAATGTATATTCCCAGCAAACCTGATAAGTATGGTATAAAAATAGTACTATTGTGTGTTTCAAAAACATTTTACATGATAAACGCAGAAGTATACTTAGGCAAAGAAAGTACTCCAAGGACACAACCCGTCGCAGATTACTATCTCCAGTCTTTGACATCTCCTATACACGGCACCAATAGAAACCTGACTTGTGACAATTGGTTTACTTCGATTCCATCAGCTACTGCATTACTTGAAAAGAATATAACATTAGTTGGAGCTCTAAGACAAAATAAAAAAAAAGATACCTGCAGAAATGAAAGACCAACGTTCTTTTGTGATAAATCCCGCCAAGTTTGCTTACAGTGGACCTCTTACATTACTAGCTTACTGTCCACCTAAAGGTAGTCAGAAGAAGGTTGTAAATTTACTGTCAACAATGCACATTCTTCCCGATAAAGATAAAACTGTTTCTCTGCCCGAAATGATCGATTTTTATAACAAAACAAAAGGAGGAGTTGTTACATTTGACCAACTGTGCCATTTATACTCAGTGTCACGTAAGACTAGTGTTGCCCAAATGCAAGAACAAGACGAGACTTAGCAAGTCTTGGTCTTGGTCTTGCGCCAATACACCTGGTCTTGGTCTTGGTCTTGGTATTGCGCACCGAGTCTTGGTCTTGGTCTTGCAGCAAGAGTCTCGCAAGTCTCGCAATGACCTATTAGCCTATTACTTTTTATTAAACGTTCCTTTAGATCTTAGAACAACTTAACAGAGTAGGTACATATTGAGCTTGAATTAACATAGCCATATATAATAAAGACCAACCATATTAATAAATGTCTAAACATTTAATGAGAAATTCGAAAAATCAACTGACACCGGGTGGGGCTTGAACCCACGACCTAAGCGATCCGTGCCGATGCTCCAACCAACTGAGTGTCCCACGGCCACGGGCGTCAGTTTCTTAATAAACGTTTACATTTAATAAGCTTATATGTGCTAAAACATGATTAAACATACATATAAAAACAAATTAATGGCAATAACTACACTGTATTTTAAATAACATTATCTCTCTAGAAAGAGATTGATGGACCCTCACCATATATGAAATGGAATAAAAGAGTTATACAATATACAATTTATATAAATAAAAAATAAAATACGATGCAAATTAAATTACTTCACAGTATGTACACAACAGCTTTGACATTACTGTTACTTTATATTTATTCTTTTGACAAAGCATTAATACAAAGTAACCATCTGGCTGACTCATCACTTAACCTATTTCTATGTTTTCTAATTACTAATGATGCTTTAGAAAATAATCTCTCAGCAGGTACTGAAGTTGCAGGTATTAAAAGAAAATCACGGGCCATCTTCGATAAAATCGGATATTTTGTCTCATGCGTCCTCCAACAGTCTAAAATGTCTTCCGAGATGACGGCTCTGGGTTTACCTAGGTATCCCTCCAACTCCTTAATAACTAAGCCTTGAAGACAAGATCCAGATCCATTTTTACACATTTCAAGTGTTTTAAAAGTGCTATGGTGTCAACCATATTTATCAAATGTGTGACGACATATTCGAGCACTTTGTGATTTAAAAACACACACTTGCAAAAGTCGAGATTTGCAGTGAACTTACTGAACATGTTTATCTTTTAGGTAATAATAATAACAATAATAGTAAGTAATTATTATAAATCCATATAGTTAATTTTATAATAATTAGTTTCTAGAATAAATTATTATGATACCTACCTATTATCTAATTACAATATTTCTTGCGAGATCAGGATAATGTATTCGTGTCCATTCTGAGCACCCGGAAACTTATTTTATTCTTTGAAACATGTACTCTGTGGCGTCAATCAAACAGTGTCAAATGTAGTGCGTGTGGCGCGGCGGCGACGATTATATGCGATATCAATAGTAGCCGCCGGCACGTGTATCTTGACCTTGTACTTTCGAATAGCTGCACAATTTCTTTGACAGGTCAGTATCCGACCTTTGATGACGCCGACAACAAGACGCCGCGCACTATCAAAGTGCCGAATGTCAAAACTAGGGATGCACTTTTTTTTCTTTTAATGGATATTTTCATTCGCTATGTATATTTATGGTATTGTTCGTAATGCGCATAAGTCCATTTTTTCCAATTTTTTTTTCATTATATTTTTTTTGCGTCTCATAGTCCCTAAGCGTATACCCGAACTCCTATACTCCCTGAAACGACACTTAGTCCTAACTGCAAGAGTCTCGCAAGCTTAGTCTTGTTCTTGCGCAAATCTTTCACGGTCAGTCTTGGTCTTGGTCTTGCTAAAAAGAGGCGGTCTTGGTCTTGGTCTTGGTCTTGCAAAAATGCAAGAACAAGACCAAGACTGCAAGACCAAGACCGATTTTGGGCAACACTACGTAAGACTCGTCGCTGGCCTTTATGCATGTTTTACGGGTTATTAAATACAGTCGGTATCAACTCTATGATATTGTTGAAGTTTAGTTACTCAATAAATAAGGAAAATATACCCAATAGACGGACATTTATCTGAAAACTTTATCCTTACAGCTCATAACACCTTATTTAAAAGAAAGAAAAAATTGGCCTATTTTGAGCCACAATATCCGCCAAATGATAAACGGCATACTCAAAACGCCAAATGAGCCTGATAGACCTGCTCTTAGTGTCGTTAAACAAGGACGTTGTAGATTCTGCCCCTATTCAAAAGACAGAAAAAGTAAGACCTTTTGCAACAAGTGCAAAACGCCTATCTGTGGAGAGCATCAGATAAAAGTTTGTTTTAAATGTGTTTAAACCGTTTACTTTTAGTAGTATCTTTTTAAGTTGGTTTCTAAAATAACCAATAAATAAGTTTATATACAAAAAACTGCATTTTTATTACAATTCTTGAAAATATGTCTCATTACATAACAGGGTGCTCGGTCACCCTGGGTAGGAAAAGTCGCTGTAAAATATGTGTAGGGTTCTAGGGTTAATGCACATGACAGTATATACGGTAACATAATTTTTTTTAATTTTTGTCTCTTTTCGTTTGTCTGTCTGTCTGTTTGTTCCGGCTAAGCTCCGAAATGGCTGCACCGATTTTGACTTTCACTGGCAGATAGCTGATGTTGTAAGGAGTAACTTAGGTTACTTTTATTTATAACAAATTCGTACAATCAACTTATGTGAATAGACATCATTTGGTTATCTACACGTTAATTGATTATACTTATAGTAAATAAGAGACAGGGGTAAAACAGCTGCTAAGCGATTGCAAGCGGCGCGGCGCTGCGAGCCGCGACGCGGATTCGATTCCCACACGGAATGAAGAAAAAATAATCAAATCATGTCCATGTCAAATTTTTATGTAAAACAACTCCACGAAAAAGGAGAAATTCCTGCTGCGGAGGTAATATTTTTAAAGAAAAAAATAATATTATCGACAAGTTTGCATGATAATAATAACAAATTCACCCGTCTGTGTGTAAAATTATAAAAAGAATTTAATCAATATATTCATAATAATATATTATTGCTGGCAAAGATGTTTTATAGGTCAACATCTTTGATTGCTGGGTTGTGTTGCCTACAAAACCAGCTAAAATATCGTCATCAGCCAGTCAGAGTCCCATGCTGGACAAAAATGAATTTCATATTGAGAGGAAATACGCTTACAACGAGCACTGAATGAATAATAGTAAAACAACAACTATAAGTAAGGTACATAGGATCTGTATTGCTCGGTCTGTATATTTCGTTCAATTTTTAAAATGGCCACTTTAACAAAAAATGTGTGTTAGACTACGCATATTTATAAAGTGTGCTTATTATTTTTGATTTTAATTGCCAGTCTACCTATGTATGTGAAAAAGTTGCACTTAAAACCTTTATAACTGCAAATTTTTCACACTCAAAACCTTTTTATGTTCATAATTTCTCACGTCAGTTTACAATATTGTCAGTTGGTTAATATTGGGAACCAATTTTATTACAGATATTCGATCTCAGCCCTCGGAGGTGACAACGCATTCGTATCGTTCTTTGTTTATAGTTGGCTGTTGCCGCTGGCGTGCATGGACATCAGTAGCCACTTACCATCAGGTGAACTGTAAACTTGTTGTTTGTATGTCACTTCAGTTTTATCTAAAAAAGTTGGGAATGACGAGCTTACATCAAGGACATACACATAATATACAGGGTTATTTTGCAATACATGCCCAAATTTGCTGAAAAGTTTTATGATAAGTATTATAGGCGAATGGTGAAAATTAATTAATTAAAAAAGTCTAAAACATTCTGTCCTTTTTGTCTTTTTAAATTCATAATGCGTGGATATGATTGTCGTTCATAAATATCTAACGCCGACTATTTTACTACGCACGCACACGTTCTTAAGGATCGATCGGTTGGCGAAAACGTGAATAATTAAATCGCACACAGAGGAGCGCGCGTACGCGTAGTTGTTCTCCACAAATCACATTCAATTTGGGATAATTTCAAATAAAACTAGAAGCCTTATATTCAAAAACTGCAATAACGGCATTACATTATTTATATATTTGAATTTAAATAAAAAAATTGGATACTCTTTGAAAAATAACCCTGTATAAATAGAAGCAGAAGAAGCTAAATAAGTACTTTTCAAAATTATATTAATTTATTTATCATACTTTTTTTCAGATCTAGAAATAATGGCGGACGAAGACAGTTGCATCAGCAGATTCTTCAAAGGAGACGTCGGCGAAATCGACAGAATAAGCCCAGACAGATTTATGATATCCGCATTAAAAACACTCGATTATTCGCAAGATATTAGCCAAACATCAATAGACTCGCAATCAGACCTGTTAAGTATGACGCAATTAACAATAGATGAGCCGGAACCACTTAACATAAGACCATTTTATAACATAACTATTCGTGAAATGCCTACTTCGCCTCATTACGTTATAGAAGAAGAATTTTCCCAAAACCCCTGGGCGTTGCTAATAGCTACGATTTTTTTAACGAAAACGCCTGCGAGAAACGCTAGGCGCTACATCAAAAGCTTTTTTGAAGAATATCAGACTCCTTACGACGTGCTGAGCGATAGCCCGACATCTTTAGAAAGATTTTTCGAAAGTTTAGGGCTTAGAAAACGAGGGCATATGATATGGAAACTAAGTTACCAGTTTGTTTCGTCAAAATGGCGACGCGCTAGTGATCTGTGTGGTATTGGAAAGTATGGTGAAGACGCTTACAGAATTTTCTGCTTGGGTCATATAGATGTAGATCCAGGAGACAGATACTTAAAGCTTTATTTAGATTGGTTGCGAACTCATACGGAATTCTTTGAGGATAATGGAATTGTGCCGTGTAGTGGCGGTCAAGAATATCCACTACCCCATATCCTCCCGTGGGTGTCGTAAAAGGCGACAAAGGGAAACAGCCAGGAGATGGGCAGCAGCATCTTCCTGATAATAGCCAAATGACAAAAAAAAAAAACTGCGGTTGCCAACCCGCTCGCCAAGCGTGGCAACTATGGCAAATACCCCCCAATGATGAGAGCAACAAAAAAACGGCCCCCAGTCCCCGGCGGCCCCGCTATTCCTGGCTACGGTGGCGACCATGGTAACGGCGGGGCAGGGGGTGCTAAGAATCTCCGGTGGAGGTTCGGTTGCCACCTTAGACGACTCGACCTGGCAACGTACAACGCACGCACCCTGAGGACTGACGAGAAGATCGTGGAGCTGGAAGAAGAGATAGACAAGTTGCGCTGGCATATTATAGGATTATCGGAAGTCCGAAGAGAGGGGGAGGACACGGTAATCCTCGAATCCGGCAACTTGCTCTATCACCGGGAGGGCGACCATCTGTCCCAAGGAGGTGTCGGATTTATCGTCCACAAGTCTCTCGTTAACAACGTTGTAAAAATCGGGAGTGTGTCGACGAGGGTTGCGTACCTTATACTCAGAATCACCAAACGGTATTCGCTGAAGGTCATACAGGTTTACGCACCAACCTCGGCACACCCCGATGAGGAGGTGGAGGAAATGTATGAGGATATCTCTAGAGCCATGCATTCCTCCAAAACCCAATATACGGTGTTAATGGGAGACTTCAATGCAAAACTAGGCACAAGAGAGAACGGTGAGCTGAAAGTAGGGAAATTTGGAATAGGGCAACGGAACCCAAGGGGCCAGCAGCTGGCCGACTTCATGGAGAAAGAGGGACTCTTTATGATGAACTCTTTCTTCCAGAAGCGGCCCCACAGGAAGTGGACCTGGTCGAGCCCCGACGGTTCCACAAAAAAAAAATGAGATTGACTTCATTATGACGACCAGACGACAACTGTTCAGTGATGTCTCCGTGATCGCGAGGGTGAAAACTGGTAGCGATCACCGAATGGTTAGAGGCACACTGAACCTAAACGTTAAGTTGGAGAGGTCTCGTCTAATGAAGTCAACGCTCCGTCCCCCTCGTGCTCTGTTCCAAAGTCCCGAAACCTTTCAGCTCGAGTTACAAAACCGTTTTCAGTGCCTAGAAGACTGCAATGAAGTGGACGATATGAATGACAAGCTCGTGGAAACTGTCCATGCGGTTGGAGCTAAGTTCTGCAAGACCCGCCGCAGAAGAACACAAAAACTCTCCGATCACACTCTTAATCTCATGGCTGTTAGACGGGAGATGAAGCTACATTCTTCAACAGACTTGACAGCATACAGGCATCTGAACAGACAGATCTCCAAATGCATGCGGCGGGACTTACGCAACTTCAATACAGCTCGTATTGAAGAAGCGATCGAGCGGAACCAAGGCTCCAAAGTCTTTGCCAGAGATCTGTCTGCCAGAAAGAGCCAACTGTCAAAGCTGAAGACAGAATGTGGCAGCATCGTTTCCGGGACACCTGAGATTTTGAGTGAGATTGAGAGGTTCTATGGGCAGCTGTACACATCATCGTTGGAGCCACACGCAAGTGTGAGTAACGATCCAAGAGCGAGTCTCATCCGACACTATTCCGAAGATATCCCGGATGTCAGTCTGAGCGAGATTAGGATGGCTCTCCAGCACCTTAAAAACGGTAAGGCCCCAGGCGAGGATGGAATTACAGTGGAGCTTCTGAAAGCGGGTGGAAGACCGGTACTTGAATTCCTTCAGAAGCTCTTTAATTCCGTCCTCCATGGTGGCATTACACCGGAGGCGTGGAGCAGAAGTGCGGTGGTCTTGTTCTTCAAGAAAGGTGACAACGCTCTCTTGAAGAACTACAGACCGATTTCCCTTCTGAGCCGCGTCTACGTGCTGTTTTCGAGAGTCATTACGAATCGTCTCGCGCGCAGACTTGACGACTTCCAGCCTCCCGAACAAGCCGGTTTCCGAAAGGGCTATAGCACCATAGACCACATACATACCCTTCGGCAAGTTGTACAGAAGTCCGAAGAGTACAATTTGCCACTATGTCTGGCGTATGTGGACTATGAGAAAGCCTTTGATTCCGTCGAAATTTGGGCGGTGCTGCAGTCCCTTCAGCGGTGCCAAGTTGACTGTCGGTATATCGAAGTGTTGAAGTGCTTGTACAGTAGGGCTACGATGGCTATCCGAGTACAGAACCAGAGTACGAAACCTATCCAATTGCAGAGAGGTGTAAGACAGGGTGACGTCATATCCCCGAAACTCTTCACCGCTGCATTGGAAGACGTTTTCAAGCTTCTGGACTGGAAAGGATACGGTATCAACATCAATGGCGAGTACATCACTCACCTTCGATTTGCCGACGATATAGTCCTTATGGCAGAATCGCTGGAGGACCTAAGCACTATGCTCAATGACCTCAATAGTGTTTCCCAACGGATAGGTCTTAAGATGAACATGGACAAAACTAAGATCATGTTTAATGTCCATGTCACACCTATGCCGATAGTTGTTGGGAACACTAAGCTCGAAGTTGTTGACGAGTATGTTTACCTGGGACAAATAGTCCGACTGGGTAAGTCCAACTTCGACCGAGAGGTCAATCGACGGATTCAACTCGGCTGGGCAGCGTTCGGGAAGCTACGACACATCTTCTCGTCAGACATACCTCAAAACCTTAAAACGAAATTGTACAACCAGTGCGTGTTGCCAGTGATGACTTACGGAACTGAGACGTGGTCCTTCACTGCTGGCCGTATGAGGAAGCTCAAGGTCGCTCAGCGAGCTATGGAGAGGGCTATGCTCGGAGTTTCTCTGCGTGATAAACTTAGGAATGAGGATATCCGCAGTAGAACCAGAGTGACCGACATAGCCCAACGGATTAGTAAGCTGAAGTGGCAGTGGGCCGGCCATATAGCTCGAAGAACCGACAACCGATGGGGAAGAAAGGTTCTCGAGTGGCAGCCTCGTACCGGTAGGCGAAGTGTAGGGCGTCCCCCCACGAGATGGAGTGACGACCTGGTAAGACATGCAGGAAGTCGATGGATGCAGGTGGCTCAGGACCGTGTTTTGTGGCATTCTTTGGGGGAGGCCTATGTTCAGCAGTGGACTTGTGAAGGGCTGTAATGATGATGATGATGAATGGAATTGTAGATTGTGAATGTGTTATTGAAGATCCTATCCTAAAATATTACAGAATAACGCTTAGAGACGGAGATTAGTTAATAGATTATGATACAGCTGGACATTTGCTTGTTATATTTTTTGAATAAACGATTATATTTAAAAAAAATACCTTAAAAACTGTTAGAAAAGAGTACGTACAACGTTTTGATAACCTTTATTGTCCATCAAGATAGTCTTTGTATTCCGCTACCATATTATGTATAATAAATATTAAGTATTTATTGCATATAATATGCCGCTACTAAAGAAAATTACGCTTTTAAGTTAGTACTTAAGTCATTTAGTTCCATTTACTTCATGTTCAAAAGAATTTAATTTTGTTTTTATTTTTATAGATTGAATTTATTTATAATCTTTAGCAAAAATACAACACTAAAATATTCGTAAGTGGGGAATTATAATGGTGACCTTACTCGCAAAATCAAAATCATGTTCATTAATTACATGCCAACTGTCTGTGAGGAAAGTTTATACTAATTTTGTTATTTTAATAAAAAGTTTACTTGTAATTCTATTGATACTTATCTTTTCTGCCGACTTCCAAAAAGGAGACGGTACTCAATTCGAAGATTTTTTTTATGTGTGTTACCTCATAACTTTTTACTGGGTGGACCGATTTCGATAATTCTTTTTTTATTTGAAAACTGGTAGTTCTCGTGTGGTCCCATATGAATTTGATCAAGGTGAGATCAATAGTTTTGAGTTATTCTTAATAAATTACATTGAAGTCGTCTGTACAAAATTTTTAATTTTAAATTATAATTTATTTATGTACCTATTTAGTAAAATAGTAAGAGTTAAACGTGGCAATTATGGCAAATATACCTCTATGGGGCAATCTATTGAAGAGACCTATGTTCGGCATTGGACTTTTGATAAGCTGTAACGGTACATAATGGTATAGAATTAAAATAATGTCAAAGGCAAATGAGGTTAGTTACAAAGGAAAAATAAACAAAAATGCAAAAGATATGCGTCTCAAATGATCGCATTCAGGTACATATACATTGTATAATAAGGAACAGTGAATTTGCGTTCACAAGTATAATACGTGGTAGAGACATGTTGCAGCTATATTAGTAGTAGGTATAGTTGTAGCACGAATGGGTCGGCTCGACCGGGAAGGACCACGCTCTCACAGAATACCAGCGTAAAATAGCAGCTTAACACTGCTGTATTTCGTATGGTGAGTGTAGAGAACCGGAGACCTTTTTTAGTGGACACGAGGCATTACATCTTAGTCCTCACGGGTGACAACGCATCTGTATTTTGATTCGTAGTCGAGAATAGATGTAGATATCTATGGGCCGCAGAAACCACTTACCATCAGGTGGACTGTGTGCTCGTTAGTCACCCTTATCCTATAAAAAAATAAGTAAAGATTAGCGTCTATAAGGCACTAATTATTACCGTCCTTTTATATGGTGCCTTTCCAAACAAATATTAAAAACTTGACACTTACCATCTAAGATGTCTATAAGATCTATCCTAAAGATTAAGTGGCAGGACGAAAATACGGTAGTGAGCATCTGCACTGTAAGAACATTTTCTAAAGACACCTGAATGCTTGCGATATAAACCCTGAGATTTGGGAGGAGCTTGCTGCAAAAATTTGATCTTGGCGATCTACTATGTTTAAAATAAATCGTTTGAGTAAAGCCGCCTCAAAAGTCTAAATTTAAAACACCAATTGAGAGACCTACATAAGCCGCTCCTACGCTTAGACTTACAAATCGTCTGGCTACCTCTACTATCATACATGCTAAAGGGTATTTAAGAACAAGTTTGGTCTAGTGAGGCTCACTAGACCAAACTTGTTGTCACTACACATAATAGGCAAAATCCATAGTTCCTAAGGCCGCCGTTATCGAAATCGATGACGGTGACTATATATGGAGGATGCAATTTTTTATAAAGTATTAAAAAAATTGCATCTTGACTTACTTCAAATTTATAGCGCCTAGATGCATGCATCTAGCATTCATGGATGGCTTATGCAATACTTTAATAAAAACCTATTCGTTCTTATCTAGAAGATACCTACATCGTATTTGGTCTTGCTCAGGCCAATTAGCATATTCTTATAAATGCCATGTGAAACTGAATTTAAATAGGCTGAAAAAGGCAGCTATATTCATCTTGCCGATCATCTCATCTTAAGACCTATCCGTTAGGAAACACTATTGAGGTCATTGAGCATAGTGCTTAGGTCCTCCAGCGATTCTGCCATAAGGACTATATCGTCAGCAAATCGAAGGTGAGTGATGTACTCGCCATTGATGTTGATACCGTATCCTTTCCAGTCCAGAAGCTTGAAAACGTCTTCCAATGCAGCGGTGAAGAGTTTCGGGGATATGATGTCACCCTGTCTTACACCTCTCTGCAATTGGATAGGTTTCGTACTTTGGATCTGTACTCGGATAGCCATCGTAGCCCTACTGTACAAGCACTTCAGCACTTCGATATACCGACAGTCCACTTGGTACCGCTGAAGGGACTGCAGCACCGCCCAAATTTCGACGGAATCAAAGGCTTTCTCCATAGTCCACATACGCCAGATATAGTGGCAAATTGTACTCCTCTGACTTTTGTACAATTTGCCGAAGGGTATGTATGTGGGGTGCTAAAGCCTTCCCGGAAACGGCTTGTTCGGGAGGCTGGAAGTCGTCAAGTCTGCATGCGAGACGATTCGTAATGACTCTCGAAAACAGCACGTAGACGCGGCTCAGAAGGGAAATCGGTCTGTAGTTCTTCAAGAGAGCGTTGTCGCCTTTCTTGAAGAACAAGACCACCGCACTTCTGCTCCACGCCTCCGGTGTAATGCCACCATGGAGGACGGAATTAAAGAGCCTCTGAAGGACTTCAAGTACCAGTTTTCCACCCGATTTCAGAAGCTCCGCTGTAATTCCATCGTCGCCAGGGGCCTTGCCGTTTTTAAGGTGCTGGAGAGCCATTCTAATCTCGCTCAGACTGACGTCCGGGATATCATCGGAATAATGTCGGATAAGACTCGCTCTTGGGTCGTTACTCACTGAGCACTTGCATGTGGCTCCAACGATGACGTGTACAGCTGCCCATAGAACCTCTCAATCTCACTCAAAATCTCAGGTGCCCCGGAAACGATGCTGCCACACTCGGTCTTCAGCTTTGACAGTTGGCTCTTTCTGGTAAACAGATCTCTGGCAAAGACTTTGGAGCCTTGGTTCCGCTCGATCGCTTCTTCAATACGAGCTGTATTGAAGTTGCGTAAGTCCCGCCGCATGCATTTGGAGATCTGTCCGTTCAGTTGCCTGTATGCTGTCAAATCTACTGAAGACTGCAGCTTCATATTCCGTCTAACAGCCATGAGATTAAGAGTGTGATCGGAGAGCTTTTGTGTTCTTCTGCGGCGGGTCTTGCAGAACTTAGCTCCGACCGCACGGACAGTTTCCACGAGCTTGTCATTCATATCGTCCACTTCATTGCAGTCTTCTAGGCACTGAAAACGGTTTTGTAACTCGAGCTGAAAGGTTTCGGGATTTTGGATTAGAGCACGAGGGGGACGGAGCGTTGACTTCATTAGACGAGACCTCTCCAACTTAACGTTTAGGTTCAGAGTGCCTCTAACCATTCGGTGATCGCTGCCGGTTTTCACCGTCGCGATCACTGAGACATCACTGAACAGTTGTCGTCTGGTCGTCATAATGAAGTCAATCTCATTTTTTTTGAACCGTCGGGGCTCGACCAGGTCCACTTCCTATGGGGCCGCTTCTGGAAGATAGAGTTCATCATAAAGAGTCCCTCTTTCTCCATGAAGTCGGCCTGCTGCTGGCCCCTTGGGTTCCGTTGCCCTATTCCAAATTTCCCTACTTTCAGCTCACCATTCTGTCTTGGGCCTAGTTTTGCATTGAAGTCTCCCATTAACACCGTATATTGGGTTTTGGAGGAATGCATGGCTCTAGAGATATCCTCATACATTTCCTCCACCTCCTCATCGGGGTGTACCGATGTTGGTGCGTAAACCTGTATGACCTTCAGCGAATACCGTTTGGTGATTCTGAGTATGAGGTACACAACCCTCGTCGACACACTCTCAATCTTTACAACGTTGTTGACGAGAGACTTGTGGACGATAAATCCGACACCTCCTTGGGACAGATGGTCGCCCTCCCGGTGATAGAGCAAGTTGCCGGATTCGAGGATTACCGTTTCCTCCCCCTCTCTTCGGACTTCGGATAATCCTATAATATGCCAGCGTAACTTGTCTATCTCTTCTTCCAGCTCCACAATCTTCTTGTCAGTCCTCAGGGTGCGTGCGTTGTATGTTGCCAGGTCAAGTCGTCGTAGGTGGCAACCGAAACTCCACCGGAGATTCTTAGCACCCCCTGCCCCGCCGTTACCATGGTCGCCACCGTAGCCAGGAATAGCCGTGGCCGCCGGGGACTGGTGGCCCCGCAATAAAAAGCAACAAACAGACGTTTGTTGCTCTAATCATTTGGGTATAATTACATATTGGGTAATCATTTGGGGGTATTTGCCATAGTTGCCACGCTTGGCGAGCGGGTTGGCAACCCCAGTTTTTTTATTGTATTTTTGCTGTTATCAGGAAGATGCTGCTGCCCATCTCCTGCCTGTTTCCCTTTGTCGCCTTTTACGACACACACGGGAACATATGGGGTAGTGGATATTCTTCACCGCCACTACACGGCAATATATTACAAGAATATTATTGAAACTTATACAGGCTTTTACTACTGGTTCGGATAAAAGCCTCTGTACTGGGTAAAACCCACGGAGCAAATACAAAGAGGAGGTGTTGTAATTAGATTTCACTATGTAACAACGCGTGACAATTTGCGGGGTGAGGGTATGTTAAGCTCCGCCCACTCTACCGATAAATAGTAAAACTACTCACATCGTTCCATATCGATGTTGCAATGTAGTTTAGTTACCTTGACGATAGATGGCGGCCTGTTCACAAAATGATTATAAAAACTATAAAAATAATATTTTGGCGATTAAAAATTCTTTAGGATTGAATGCAAAACAAATTTCA